CTTCGTACTACTTTAAATGACATGACTCTCTATGAAATTATTTAAATACCCTTAATAAATATTTTTTCTGTTAATTTATTAAACTAATTTTTCTTTTTCTTTTTTTTTTTGACAGTAAGAAACTTAAGTTAGTTAAAGTGTTAGTATCTGTAGTGTTAGTGGGGAAGCTCGAAAGCTTGGAGAGGGTGTAATCCACTGTTGTACCTATGATTTTGATGATTACAAAACACATTTGAGTGACTAATTGGTTTATTTAAGTGTGTAGTTAACTTGCTAAAAGATTGCAAGTAATACTTGGATTGCACTAAAAATAGACCAAAAGGATTCAAAATGTGCAGAGAGCCGGCTCTTAAAAGCTGCAGCAGGCTCTGGTGAAATGGAAGTGCAGAGAGCCGGCTCTGGAAGCTGCAGCCAGCTCTACAGGCAAAAATTTCAAGGCCATTGCTTGGCGCGCGCGGAGAAAAGACACAAAGTCGGCTCCAACTTTCTAGCTGGCTGTGAGGGTGCATTTAATGCACAACGATCGACTCTTTTGAATGTATTTAAAATCGGAATTCCAAAGCCGGCTCAAAGTCTTGCAGCCGACTCTCGAGGAAAACAGAATGGCCTGCAAACCCGGATAGCCGACTCTGGAAGTGTAAGCTGGCTGTGTAGAGCTGGCTCTAGGAAGTTAAGCCTGCTTTCCTGACAGTTCTGCAACTTGAGCCATGTGTCCTGCAGAGCATTTAATAACCCCTAACGGCTAGAAATGGCTATATTCGAGCAAGGGGCTATAAATATGATTGGTAACAGATATGAAGAAGTTAGGAGAATATTACATTGCATATCTTTACCTACCTACTTGAGTTTAAACTTGAGTTTTTGATCTTTGAGTGATCATTGCTTGAAATCCTCTTCTTGTGCTATTAGTGAGTGATCTTGGGGGTGTGTTGATTCCTTCAAGAGTGATCTATTGAGAGGATTTGTGGGGTTTACATTGTAAAGGGGTGAGGTTTGAGAGAAATACTCATCTTGTTGTAAAAGGATTGAGTGGCTCCTTTAAGCCACCCTTGTTTTTCTTAGTGAAGAGTGTGGAAGAAATCCTTGGTGAGTGAAGGCAAGGTAGAGGACTAAGCTCCAAGTGGTTGGACCGAACCTCTATAAATTCATTGTGCAAGCTCTTCTTCTCTACTCTATTTAATTAGGGTTTTGTGGTTGAAAAAGGGAAGAATTTTTGGAATTCCAATTCACCCCCCTCTTGGAGTACATTGAGTCAACGTCCACCGGCTGCCCATTTGGATAATAGTGGCCATTATCCCACAACAGGGGAATGCAAACTAATTTTTCAAAGAATCTTGACATTTAAAATGTGAATATATTTTATTTTTGTCCTAAGGGACACCTTTTGTCATTAATTTATATAAAAAAATATAAAAACTAATATTAATTTTAGTGTTATTGTTGCATAGATGAATTTAATTAAATAGTTAATAAATTGAAAATCAACATTTATTCTTCTAATATAATTTTATGACAAAAAAATATATTAATTATACTTTTAACATATACTCTGAGGGTAGAAATTAGAAAAACTTTTCATAATATCTAATGAGAAAAATAAGGAACATGTTAATTTTTTTTTATTAATTAAGTGATTTAATTAAATTTAAAAAGTGATTTAAGAGAATTATTGAAATAAAATGCATTATTAATTAAAATAAAAAACATGTCATTATTTTAGTAAAAAATGTCGCTAAGCATTTATATATTATTAATTAATTGATTAAAAAAGGAAAAGGAAAAATGAGTATGTTTTAATATTAAAAATATCAAAATATTCAATAATAATCACATAATAAATTTAATAAAATTAAAATTCATACTATATCTTATATATTTAATGATCATAATTAAATATTTTAATATTTTTAATATCAAAACATCTTAATTTTTTTTTTCATTAAAAAATATATCATCACTTAACACAGATAAAGTAAAGTTAATAAAGAAACATGTAAAGGCGTGCAATGTCACTCAAGCCATTAACGGCGTATAGAGCTCAGTTAGTGAAGGGCTAATTTGCTTCAATTACAGGGTTGAAGGGCTTATTTGCTCTCTTTTTAGTTCAGGGGCTGATCACTTATTGTTGGAAAAGTTGAGAGACTTAATAAGGGGTTTTGCCATTTAAAATAAAGAGCTTCAGCAATCCAATTTCGAATCCTGGCATAGGATGGGTGGGGAGGGGTCTGGCCATAGAGAGTGTAACCATAACCTCTCCAATTATTCCCCAATTCCTTCCTCCTCCTTTCGCCACTGTGCTCGACTGTAACAATCTCTGCTATCTTTCCTTTACGTTGCGATGTGAAGTGGAAGATTTTCTCTTTTCAATTTTCGTTGAGTTTATGATAACTATCAATGGAAATGGAATCGTCATCCACTTGCCCTTTCTGTAACCTTCTGGTTCGCGACACAGAACTCCAATGGTATTGCTTTTTTTTTTTTTTTTTTCTTTAGCTAAAAATTAACTTGTTTCTCCAACAATTATTTACTCGAATTTCATATGGCGGCGGATGGATGCAGGCATGCGAACAGTCACTTCGAAGATGGGGATGAGGACGAGCAATTCGCCAGGGACCGGGAATTGGCGCATCAGATCGCCTCGTCTTCCAACTCCGGCGACGGAGACTGCCCTACCGACGACAAGATTTCTTGCTTGGTTGCTCTTCAGACGAGGAGTAGCTTTTATTGCATCAAAGATGGTTTGATGTCCTTGCTCACCAGGTGTTTGGAAAGAGATCAGGACTCTTCGGTAACCATACTCTCCGGCTACATCGATCACTTCCAGAGCACTGCGTCCGAGGACCGTGGGTGGGGATGTGGCTGGCGAAACATACAAATGATGAGTTCTCACTTGCTGGCACACAGACCGGAAGCCAGAGAAGTCTTGTTTGGCGGCTCAGGGTTTGTTCCTGATATCCCCTTCCTCCAGCGGTGGCTCGAGATTGCTTGGGAGAAGGGCTTTGATGCGGTTGGCTCCCATCATTTCAACAACAGAGTTTATGGTTCCACCCATAGGATTGGCACTACTGAATGCGCTGCTCTCTTTCGCTCTTTCGGCCTCCGTGCCAGGGTTGTGGATTTTGGTCCTCAGGAACTCCGTTCGCTTTATCTATCTGTTCCTGGTTCTGGTGCCGGGCCATCAGTAGTGAAAGGAAAATCTATTCATGTTTCTGGGCCCATGGATAGGTATGTTGTTCACCTACCAAATTCGAATGAGTCCAGAGAGTCAGAAAACACCTTAGGAAATGGAAGTGATAATTTGGAACATAATTCTACCAAGCAGAATCAGAGGCATCAGAATCTTATTGATTGGGTGTGGAATTACTTTTCTGATAAGGGCTTAAAAATGTCCAACTCCAGCCCTGTCATTGTCAGTGACAGAACGTAAGTGATCGTAATCACTGGTAACTATCAAGTTGTGATATTGAATGATTGATTTTCATGTTTGTGGTTTGAATTTACTTGCATTCCATTTTTTCCCTTGTTGTATGAGAGGCATTGGTGGCACATGTTCTGAACTTCTGATTGTGTTTTAATTTGTTGGGAGCTTCTATGAGCAGGCCTTTATACTTTCAGCATGATGGACATTCACGAACAATTGTTGGGATTCAAGTTAAACATCAACACAACAGGATGCAACAGTTCAGTCTCTTGATATTGGACCCTGGTCATGTGAGTAATGCATGTACCCATTCTAGCTATTAAACGTTCACAAATAGCATACTAATGACTAACACTCAATATTAGTTTACTTATGCTCCGTTCTGAAAATTCTAGTTGTTATACTACTCTTATCCCAAGTTATAGATATTGGAATTGGCATGTTCTTGCCTTTGTTGAATTATATAAGAATTAGTATCTGTGATTCTGTGTACATGTACTGTCTTGCTAATTTAAATTTTCTTATGTGTCATGTGGTATGCTTAAAGAGAACGGCTGCTCTAGAGAGATCGCTTAAGGAAAACTTTCGGTGGAAGACACATTTAAAAAGAGGGGTCCATACCCTGAGAAAGCCACAGTACCAGGTTATAATGCAGTTCTTAAGCCTCTACCATTTGCCCTTCCATTATTTGATGAATGAGCTTGATGTTGTATTTGTCTTTCAGCTATGCTACATTGACCCCGGAATTGCTGGTGAGGAGGAGATGGAACAGCTCAAGACAATTGATAGTGTCTTTATTGAATTGTAGAGGAGTACTTCAAATTTCTGCATCATTAGGTACTTTTTATCTATGAGAAAATTGAACGCAATCCTTTACATGTGCTTAAAAGGAAACACGGTGCTCCAGCCTTTTTCTTTTTTTTTAATTGTGGTTTGCTTTCTTGAACCAGCCTCCCTTCCCAGAACCCCCATTGACCTCAATCAACTTTTAATTCCAATGGGAGAAATTCCATTGAGCCATTTGCTGAGAGTACTTTGCTGCATAAAAATGTTGATGTTGTTTTTCATTTTTTGTTACCAGGAAACTGGTGTCTACATGTGGTTGTACCAAAGTGGCCCTAATATTCATTAACCTCTACAGTTTCATGTGTTTCTGTTTATATTATTCATGACTATCTAAAGCTGGACTAATCTAAACAGTCAAATAATGATGTTAGATTTTGATTATGAGCAATCTCCAGAACTTCCCTCTAATCATCATGACTACTTCTGAGCTTATTTCATTCTTGGGAAAGCCTATCTGCGGCTGGTTTCTGTGCTTGTGGATAGCATGCTGCCATTCATGTTTGAAGTTGTTGATTCCAAAGCATTTATTATGGTTTTTCAATCCTTCCTCCTTTTT